ATTTAACCTCTTCAATATTTTGGTGATGGGAAAAATAGATGTCTTACTGCTGCCAAATGTTTTCCACCTTATAATTGTTGGTGATCGAATAAGGTTTGTTTATACTTTTAGGAGTCAAAACTTCCTTAATATTCTAAATATACCATAGTGTCACCTTGGTTATTTTAACTCTACAGCTTCTCTGCTAGTCACAGTGGGCATCGCTGCCTGTCTCCAAAACCTGAGACGATTTCACTGTGTTTAACATAAATCAGTATTCCCTGTTGGCTCCCATGGTCTTCATAAAAGAAGCTATACTTAACATTCCTTGATAATTAATCACAACTTCGTCTCCAGAATAAGTCCCACTTAGTTATATCTCGCTATTTGAAATGGTGCTGGATTCTACTTGTTAATGCTCAATGTGGACTGTCTGCCTCTATATTCATGGCTGCTTTCTCCACCCCATCCACCGGCCATCTGTACAAACACTCCCTTGGTTCCTGTTTTCTTTCTAGACTACATTGTGATTTTCCTATTTAAAGCAATCTCTGGTCAGTCACAGTGGCTCACACGTGTGACAGCAGGACTCAGAGTCCATGACAAGATCACTGTGAGTTTGAGACCAGCCTGTGCTTCAGACAGCACTCAGGACAGCCTGAGCTATAAAGGAGACCTTTATTGAAGGAAAAACAAACACTAAGACCCACAGACAAAACACAAATCTCTCAAGCTTGGAGAAGTGGCAAGAAGCCGGCATTGCCTGCTCGTGCATCCTTCGCTGCTCTCCTTGGCTTTGACTCTCCATGTTGCGGTCACTATTTCCTGGTCAGCTTGTGGGTCAGACAGTAAAATATAACAAGCCATAGACATTACAATCAAATCCCAACTGTACCACAGCTGATATCTTTGTTACACGGATAAGTGTGTATGCCCTCTGCCCAACTAAAAGGCCGTTCAAATTGTGCCTGTTATATGTAGGGGGGGGGGGGTAAATATGAGAGTGATAGAACAAAAATCTCTGAATTAAGATTTACTTCAGATTTTGAATACACCACCTCAACTTGTGTGACTGGGTTTAAAGACAGACGCCAGCTCATCTTCCTCTGTAACTGCACACTAACACACACAATACAGACACTCTAAGACTGCACTATGAAGTCTGGGTAAAACCGTGCACTGCAGGAAGTGCCAGGCAAACCTGGCTGTCTACTTCCACAAGCCAAAGGTAACATTTTTCCCCTTATTTATTTTCCTTCTTTAAAGCGGGAGGGATAGGAAGAGGCAGGGGAGGGAGCAGCAGGCAGCTGCAGCAGCAAACACTGCTTTTCTTACCAGATACCAAGGGGAAGGTAACACATCAGACAAGGACTCACCACAGAAAGAGGAGGGGAAGGTTTCTTGACCTACACAGTAACAAACTGGCTCTTTCTGGTGAGGCTCAGCAAGAGGGGCCGGTTCCACCAAAGAGAAGTCATGAAAACACAGTAAAACTGGGAAATACTGACAAAAAAAACCTCCAGGAAATGAAAATACAATCAAGCATGAAGGGCAAGCCAGTTAGAATTTTCAGAGCTTTGTTGGAATGTCCCCAAAAATAAATGAGTAGATTAATTCATATAATTTTGTCATGAAATTATGGATTACAGGGCTTCATCCATTCAACATGATTCATACATAACACTCCATGATGCTCTGCGTCATAAACTAGGTAGGCTCCGCTGTATAATAACGCAGTTAAACATACACATCAATATTTTGCCAATACCAATTAAAATATTACTGCTGAAAATCTGGAGTTGTTTTTCCAATTTTAACATTTTTATGTAATCACTACCAGGGAACTGGTGCCTAAGTGAAAGCATCACGTCACAAGAGTCTGCTGTGGAACCATCAATAACTAAATGGGGCACACAGTTTCCACTTCTGGCGTGTGTAAGACACTGTCAGAGAAATCCTGCCCCTCTGCCTGGTTCCAAAATCACCTAACTCAGAGTTTACACCTTCATCTTTCTAGTATCTTTTTAAAATCAAAAAAATAAATTGTTTTTCATTTTGTTTCAGACTTTTATATTAATTCTAAACATAGGTCTGTCTTTAACAGAAAAAAAAATATAAATTTTATTCTTGAAAAAAGGTACCTGACAGCTCTTTAAAGACAACACTATCACTAACAATAACAAAAAAATAAATAAAAACCTCAGATTCTGAAATCTGAGTTAATGCTAGGTTTGCAATGAATCTTTAAGTAATAAGCCCTAAGCAGTAGAGTTGGTCGAGGCTCATCCACTAGCTCTGGTTATATTATTAGCTGTTTTCCGTCTCTTTTTAATCTAATTATTATTATATGTATGTGTGTGAATAATGCACATGAATGCCAGTGCCCCTGGAAGCTACGGAAGATGGGTCCTCTGGAGCAGGAGTTACAGACAGGTGTGGGCCACCCAGCATGGGTCGTGGAACACAAACCTGGGCCTCTGCCACTCTTAACCAATCCTTCTCCCACGCCCCTTCACTCACTCTCTAGACACTTTGTTTTACTTTGATTATATGTGAATGTGTGTGTCTGGGAGGGGAATGTGCGCTTTGTAGTTGCCCACAGAGGACATAAGAGGCCGTCAGACCCTCCAGAGCTTGCGTCACAGGCAGGTGTAGCTGCTGGGCCCTGAACTGGAGTCCTCTGCAGTCCTCTTAGCCACTGAGTGCTCTCCAGTCCCTCAGCCAGCCCCTTTCTGAAAATATACATGTCTAGTGACCAAGGTCTAACAACTGGGCTAGTCAAGCCCGCTTTTCTTTTGATTTTCCCAACAGCCTTCCCAAGGAATTCCACTGCAGACGGCAGCAGCCTGAAAAGCAGCAACGCGCTGGCTAACCTCTAGCACACACACTATAACGAGCACTGTGCAGACAGTGATGTTTCCACAGATGAGTGGTCTTGCTGTAGGAAATGCACAGTGGCACCAAGGCTGAAACTGTGAGTTCCGTAACAATGAGAAGCTGGCATGGGCAAAGTGAAAACCCATGGAACACCTCAGACGCATTGCGTTTCAACAAACAGTCCTTGTATGAGAAAGCAAACGCGATCTTAAAATCCATCTTCTCTTTGGTTCATTATAATGTCTATCTTTGCTTCCAAGGGACAATAAAATAATTACTTGAAAAAAATCTTTTATGTAAAAAAAAATACTAAAATATGTTATTCGTGAAAATCCTGTAACATTTGATGTTGTCAAGAAGTAAAATTACAAAGAACATAAGAGGACTTTACTGTGAAGTACATACAAATAATCAAATTGAGTTTAAAAAAAAAAGTTTATCCAACGCTGAGTTTGATGGGTGGCTTTATGATTTGTTGACAGTGTTAATAAGGGTCAAAAATGTGCTGTGTTAAAAAATAAAACTGGGTAAACTATGCTTTTCTTCTTCCGGTCTGAATAAATTTATTTCAACACAAAATAGATATTTGTTTCTACAGACCCGCAGCATTAAGAAATAAGCATTATTAAGTCTGTACCTGAGAATGTATGGGACATTGAGAGCGTGAAGTGGACAATGTAGTCAAGCAGACAGACTACAACTCTTAGAATCATGGCCACTATACTCCTGTTACTTCTGCCTTTTTGAAGTTCTGACAGCCGAGTTAGTAACACACTTCATACACAAAGCCTTTAGCAGTCACTGGTGCTTACATGAATTAGAACACTGATAATCCAACCTCTCTCCCCATTTCTCTCTGAAACAAAACTTGGGGTTTTTAGCTTCTATGAGGTTTTTGACACATAAAACTGAAATATAATTTTCAATAATGTGGAAGAATAAATACAGGTTCTCAATACATCACTTACCAGAAAAAGCTCAATCTTAAACAGTTCATTAAAATATGAGCACTGTGTAGACAGAAGCTCACTGAAAAAAAAAAATGAACGTAAAAGTTCAAAACCCCACTGGGTTCTGTGGGTTTACAGTGACAGTGGCATCCTAGCTCACTTTCACGTCAAGAAATTTCATAGGAGAATATGGAAGAACAAAACATAAACAGATAAACAAGCTCCCTGTGCACCATTATTTCAGAAGTCACATATTCCTCATCTAAGACTGAATAATCACAACCAACCACAGCTTATCATTCCTAATTTACGAGAGCATCGCGATCAAAGCACTTATTGTCAATTGTTCTTCCCTGTGTGGCCATGGGAAATAATCTAACAAACCAGATTATGCTCTTTAAAATGTAAACGACTAAATCTGTCTCATCTAATTAGTCTCCTTTATTTTATATATCAAGTGAATAGCTTTGAATTTGATATAGTACTTTATTCTCACCATTGATAAAAGGCACTCTTATGTTTTAGTAATCACAATTAGAGAAGCAATATTTTACTACAATGCTGTACTGGAGTAGTAAATGAAGTATTTCAATGAATGCATCCATGTTCACATACAACCAACAATAACATCAGCACAATGAACAAGCAGAGATACAGCCAGCTCTGGTTGTCTGGAAAGGCCGCATTTAGTGTCTTCACATTCCCAGATTCAGCCTGAACTTCTATGTTGTCTCGTGATTTCATTATCTCCTTTGAAACATCCCTCTCAATGAACTTCCCTCCCAGACTCTGTAAACATATTCTGTATATTTTTGTATAAGAAAACTAAGCTTTGTTGATTCCTACTGAATCTGAAGTGTTTGGATTCCTACGGTCTTAATTTGATAGTTCGATAGTATCACACATCTATCCGTATCAAAACCAATTAGTAGGAGACACAAGAGGCTTATACAATATTCCAGTAAGGACACAACACCCAAGCATCTAACAGCCATCCGACCTCTGCTTCTCCTCCTTGTCCCCACACATCTGTTCTCGTGGCCTGATCTTTCTGCCCACTGTGCTGAAACACACAACCCAATCCATACCTAGCACTACACTGATCTCCAGCACGGCATACACATTCTGTGGGTCAATTGGCTTGAGAAAATGCTCTGGTATTTTCCTCTTTGTACGGTCCTAACAGATACATACCTATGTCATATGCCAGGAAATCGGCAGAAAAACATTTTGCACCGTTACTCAGGGAAGTGTCATTATGAGTGTTTCCTCCAAAAACAAGCATAGCTCCATTGATTAGGACAGCTGAGTGAAGGCATCTGGCAAACCCACTCTCTCTCAAAATAGTCCTACAGAATGAAATTCAAAAACGCATTACAAAGGATAGAGACTTCCCTCACCTTATAAATAAAATACGGACTTTGTATACACAAATTCTTTCTGGGAATTATGAGGGGGTAAATACATGTATTTTAAACACTTGTAAATAACGTCTAGGTTCTGATATTCTAAGACTATTTCTGGAATCTCAGAATGCTTTGAGGGAAGCATAATATAGATAGAATCTTTAATACTTTATATTTTGAACGATTTATTTACTTATGAAGGTAGGAAACCAGTCTACCTCAAAGTCCAGGAATAAGACACCAAAGTTTTTTGTTCTTTGATTTTTGTTTTTTGTTTTTGGCTACAACAAGTTAAATATAGTAAAATCTGTCCAAAATTCATGGGGTTAAAATTATAAAATTGATAAGGTCCCCTTAGTGAGCCTTTGTTTAATTAAAATTTATACACAAAAGTGAAGATACCTTAAGTTAAAAAACTCAATGAATTTCCATGAGATAAACATTACCAAATACCCAGAACACAGATAGAAACATTGCTAATTTCTATTTCAATGATCAGTTCTAATATACTTTCGCATGGGTTGCACTTATTTGTATGCAGGTTCTTTGGATACAGCCATAATGCGGAGGAATTAAGAACTGAACACACAGGCTGGAGACGTGGCACAGCAGTTAGGAACACTTCAACATCAGGCAGCTCCAGGAGGATCTGAGAACGCTGGCCTCCACAGGCCCTGTGCTCACGCACACATGCACACGTGGATGCACACAGCCAGAAATGAATCCTCTAAAATGTATCTTTCAGAAACAGTAAAGTTTACAAAAAGTATTATAAATATATGCTTGGAATTATAAACTGCTCTGAATAAACCAGTATATAAAGATGATTAGCAATATAAATCAATACCTTCTAACCATTCTGATAAAAATATAAGCACAGCAAACATTTATAAAATAGCTAATTTGTATACAGTCTCTAAAACCATGGATTTTTAAGTCATTTAATGTTTAGAGAATATGAAACAGGCTCCTAAAGTGACAATATCCAGAGTTCCACAGCCTCTCCGGGGAAAGAACTTTAATTAAAATGAAAAACTAGGTTTAAAGAAAATTTTAAGATCTCATAAACCTTTATTTAGAGCAACATTAAATACCTACTCAAGAATATCTACCAAGTTTTGGTTAGGAGCTCATCTGGCCAGGTGGCACAAGCCTGAGATGCCAGCTCCTTAGAGGCTAAGACAGAAGGATCACACTCAAGGCCTGCCTGGGCAGTATGGTGAATCCCGCTTCAAATACAAAGCAACGAAGTCAGGATGTGGCTGGGAATACACAGCTCGGCTGCAGAGTTCCCGCCTTGCATGCACAGGCCCTGAGTGTAATGTCCACTCATCCAAAGAAAGGGGAAAGGGCACAATCTATGTTACACAGAATCAGGCCAGCCCTCTCTGTCTTCCCATCATCTTCTCCTCTTCAACATACACCAATAAGAATGACAGACCCCTAATGAGGAGGAAGCCAGGGAACAACGTTCTTTCATTCCTTGTCTCCTAGCGGCTCCTATTGGGTCAATGATATCTCACTAAGGGTATTAGGCTACCACAATTCTCATGTCCCCGTACTTACAGAAGGTCTAAGAAGCCTGGGTGAATTACCACACTTGCTCTCAGCAGAGACGGGAGTTATCAACCAGGTTTATGTGACTAAAGGGGAGTCAAATGTTTATCCTACCTCACTCAATAAAGCAGAGGGTCTATGTCAGACAGCCAAGCTTAGGAGACCCCAGCGTAGTGCCCCCAAGACTCTGCATACGAGACAATGGTACCACCCCAAGGAGAATCAGATCACTGAGCCCACGCACCTACAATTCCTGGACAGTAAAACAGAGGTTCTCCAACAGGAAGACAGGAAGACAAAGCAGACATCTCTAAAGCTTCACACACGCACACACACACACACACACACACACACACACACAGTGCTTGCCCTGCAAGTATGAGGACCTCCAGAACCCATATAAAAGCCCAGGTGTGGTGGGCTGCCCGTCATTCCAGAGATGTGGGATAAACTAGCTCATTAAAATAGCCAAAATGGCGAGCTCCAGATGATCTGGTCAATATACAATGTGGTGTATGACAGAAAACACTACATGAAGTCAATCTCAGATATCCACATTGCAAGCATACACACAAGCTTGTGCAACACACACATGCGCACCCGCACACACGCGGACATACATGCTGGCACATATGCATACCACACACATGCATTACACTGTTGAATAAAACTAACCTAGCATAAATAGTAAGCATACGTGAAGAATGATAAATTCCTAGAAGATAGCATAGGAAGAAAATCTAGGAACTAGGTTTGATGATGAATTTTTAGAAGTATCGAAAATTAATTGAGGAAGTTTTATTTAAAATCAATTTTTTTCTGTAGCAGAAAAAATATTGCTCAGAGAATAAAAGCACAAGCCACAAACTGTCCTAAACATTTGCAGCACAATGCCTGACAAAAGAATGTTTTCCAAATTATACAAAGAACCCTTAAAATAAAACAAACAACAGTGCTGGCAGTGCCAAATATGCCTTCCGAAGAAAGCACATGGGTATGAATATATGAATAAAAATACATTTCACTCTGTGTGATCAAGGAAAGGCAGACTGAAATAGCACCTATTAAAATGATAAAACTGAAATTATTGACATTACTGAAACCTAACAAAAATTCCTATCCACTGATGCAAGGCATAAAAAATAGTAGTCTCTTTGAAAGATAATTTAGCACCTTATTACAATATTAAACATAATTCTAATTAATTCACAACCAAGGAATTGTGAGTCTTAGTATTTACTAGTGGGTTAAAACTTTCATTCACTAAAGTACCTGCATACAGATATTCTTGACAGTTTTATCTACAACTGACACAATCTGGAAGCCTTTGGGATACTCTTCAACATGTAAATGGAAAAGCAAGCGCTTCGAACATGCAATGGAAAGCAATTCAGAAAGAAAAGACATGGTGGAACTTTAAATACACATTGCTACGTGAAAAAAAGTCAAACTACACACTATACAATCTGTTTGTCATATAGTCAATTTTCACACCCACTGCAAATACGTATGAACACTATGGAAGCAAGAGAACAACCTTATGGTTCAGTTTTCCCATGTCTGGGGCACACCCAAGGGGATCTGCACTGGTTTACCACAGGGTCAGGCACACCTACTGCACTGCAGGCCCACCTTGCCCAAGTGCAAGAGACAACCGAACAGAGAAGACCTGGTTACACAGTGCTGTGCTACGCAGCCTTACAGAAACATCGTTCTCAGGGAAGCAGATGAGCTAAACTTGTTTACCGAATCAACATCACATGAAGGAAATGAGCCCTATTCAAACAGTCAAATGTCACGGGCTCTCTCTCATGGGAACCCTAAAAGTTACATGACGACAACAGTAAAGTCACTAGTGACGTGGAGGACAGACAGTAAACAGGATCAAACACACAACATACGTGTATGAAAATCACACGGAAACCCATCACATAATTAATACATCTTAAAGGGGATTTTACTGTACTAATAGTACCGTTATAATAATTTAATGAATAATGTCAATTTCGAATCAGGCAGAGATGATCTGAATATTCTTCTAATAAATGTAATAAATTCCACTGGTAAAATTCTATACATAAAAAATTCACCTTAGTTGTCTTAAGGGCTATAATTTAAAAATACTAAGGAAAAAAATCTGATTTTACAAATGTGATCTATAGCATTAAAAAGAATGCTCCCCCAAATAAGTTTATGTATCTGATAAAACACTAACATCAAACTATTAATATGAATAATTCAAGGGAAACATAATCATATCTCAGATATTAACGAAGATTTTTTTAAAGTTCCTCATCAAAATATTGGCAAACCAAAAACCAACATGTTAGACCACAGTTGATTTAAGTTGAGTTGCTAAAATAAATCATGATAATTAGCCATATTACTTTGGGGAAAACATCAGATAACCAACTCTCAAAGGAATTTTGATACAAGCTGTTAGCAAACCAAGAGAGGAAGGAAAAGTGTTTTAAATGTAACTTTTTAAAAAAGATTTTCTCTGATGTGGGAGGTCCTTTTGTCTATGTGTTGCTTTTATTAGTTAATGAATAAAGAAGCTGGTTTGCCCTGATAGAGTAGAACAGAGCTAGGTGGGGAAAATTAAACTGAATGCTGGGAAGAAGATGGGGGAGTCAGAGAGAAGCCATGGAGCCTCCAGAGACAGATGCCAATTGGAATCTTGCCAGTAAACCACAGCTACTTGGTGATACACAGATGAATAGAAATGGGTTAAATTAATATGTAAGAGTTAGCCATTAAGAAGCTAGGGCTAATGGGCCAAGCAGTGATTTAATTAATAGAGTTTCTGATTATTTTGGGGCTAAGCAGCCGAAGACAAACAAGCAGCCTCCTTACAACATTTCTCCACACAGAATGAATTTGCATCCTTTCCCTCATTCCTCACCCGGCTCCAAATCCTCTCGTGTGTGCACCCCTCTGATGGAGGAAGGTCATTGGCTAATAAAGGAACTACCTTGGCCCATTTTATTGGTTAGAGGATAGGTGGGAGGAGTAGGCAGAACAGGACGCTGGGAGGAAGAGGAAGTGAGCTCAGATTCCACAGCTCTCCTCGTGGGGGCAGACGCCTGAGAGAGACGCCATGCCCCGCTCCCGGGATGAAGCTCCAACCCAGGATGGACATAGGCTAGAATCTTCCTGGTATGCGCACCTTGGGGTGCCATACACAGATGATTAGAAATGAGCTAAATTAATATGTGAGAATTAGCCTAGAAGAGAATGGGCCAAGCAGTGTTTAAATGAATACAGTTTGTGTGTTGTTATTTCGGGGCATAAGCTAAGCTAAGCCGGGCAGGCGGCGGGGGTTCTGGGAACGCAGCCCCGCTGCCCTTATTACTACACCCCTCTACAATTCATGGCCTTTCTCA